GATTGAACTCAACACTGCACTTGTGAGGCAGGTGGCAGCACCACTCAAAATCTTATTTTTTTTAGCTATGAGAAAAGTGCTTTGAAGGAAATACACCACAATTCTAAAATATTGACTTGGTTACTGTGTGAGGATAGGAATATTATAGATGGACCATAGTTGTTTTCCTTTCCCATAATCACATTAAAAAAAAAAACAACGGGGTCAGGTATGGTAGTGTACACCTCTAATCCCAGCACAGTGGCAGGCTGAGGCAGGAGGATGTTCCAGGCCAGTCTGGGCAACTGAGTAATTTAGCTAGACCCTGTCTCAATATTAAAAATTAAAAAGACAAGCTCAATGTAGTGGCGCACACCTGTAATTCCAACACTTGGGAGACTGAGACAGGAGGTTCACAGTGAGAAGGAGGCCAGCCTGTCTACATAGTGAGACATTGTCTTAAAAAGACCATAAATAAATAAAAATAAAGACAAGAAGCTGGGCAGAATGGCACATGCCTATACGGTAACACCTTGGTTCACGTTTGCTTCCGTTTGTGAACCATTTGGCTCACGCACACAAGCATTCGACGCAATTTTGCTTCTGTTTGCAAACTGCACAGCGGGTAACAAACACAACCACAGCCATCTTTCCCATGCAAACATGAACAAAGCCGACTTCTCTGCTCGGACACAGGGTTGTGGCTTCCTCTAGTCAAGCCCGTGGTTGCAGACCTGTGTACTCCTGCTGTGGAGCTTTTGTGTGTGTTCTTTATAGCATATGGAGCTCCAAAGACAGTGCAGAGAGAGCTTGGTGGTACAAAGAAAGGGCAGACAGATAACAAAGGAGACTCGAATGGCCAGGGTGGTGATGAAAGTAACCAGAATGGAAGGGGGGGTGGTGAAGGTGATGAGGGTGTATGAAGCAATTGATGAAGGTGGCGATAAAGCAAGAATGGCAGAAGAAGTGTGGAAGAAAAGAGCCATTGAACTGAAGAAGGGACTTGTAAAAACGCATGAGCATGGTATTCATGTGGCTGATCTGGTCTTGGAGGACAGGAGGGTGAAGTCAACTATCTCGACTATTTTGAAGAATAAAGGTGCCATCAAAGGAGGGGATGTGGCAAAAGGGTTCATGGTAGTAGGCAAGCAGAGGACACAAGTGCTGGAAGAGGTGGGAAAACTTTTGTCAACGTGGTTGAATGAGAAATAAACTGGCGGGTGATAGTTTTGGTAAAGCTATGATCTGTAAAAAAGCCAGGAAATTGTACAGGGATTTACTCCAAGAGGAACAAGTGATGAACGTAAAGCCAGCAGAGGGTGGTTTGTAAATTCCCCAAGAGAAGTGGGATCTCCAGTGTGAAAAAGTCACGGTGAGGCTTCCAGTTCTGACATGGCAGCTGCAGAAGCCTACAGGAAAGAATTCTTCCAAAATTCATGAAGACTGAAGGCCACATCGCTCAGCAAGTGATCAGCTGTAATGAAACAGGGCCCTTCGGGAAGATGCCTGAGCAGAATCTGTATCAAGCAGGAGGAAAAGGTACTGCTGGGGCACAGGCCCGTGAAGGGACAGACTGACCGTTTCGCTGTGTGGGACAGCACGAGCTGATTTGAAGATTAAGTCAGTACCGGTGCACCATCCCAGACCCCTGGTGCATTTAAGGCAAAGAACGTGAACAAGGCCGGACTTCCTGTCACGTGGAGAATCAGTGTGGGCGCTTGGGTTACGAGGCAATTGTTCGTGGAATGGCTACATGAGGAATTTGCACCTGTTAAGAAATATCTTTCTGCCGGGTGTGGTGGCGCACGCCTGTAATCCCAGCACTTGGGAGGCTGAGGCAGGAGGATCGCTGTGAGTTCGAGACCATCCTGGGCAGTGAGTTCCAGGTCAGTCTCAACTACATAGTGAGACCCTGTCTCAAAAAACAAACAAACAAAAGAAGTATCTTTCTGACAATCAACTGTCTGCAAAGGTGTCTTGATCTGCCGGGTGTGGTGGTGCTAACCTGTAATACCAGCACTCGAGAGGCTGAGGCAGGACGACTGCTGCAACTTTGAGCTTTGAGAGAGTGCAAGGCCAGCCGGAACTACATATGGAGGCCTTGTCTCAAAAAAAAGTGCCTTCTTCTGCTAGACCCTAGCACACACACCCTTCAGCCCTGATGGATGATACATGCTGGGTAGACTTCATAAAGGTCAAACCCCCATACATTTTCTGCAGCCCTTTGACCAGCAAGTGAAAAAAGCTGCCCACAAAGGTGCTCTTCACCAGATATTTTGATGTCACTGAAGAGACGTCCTTGACTCTTGAAAGAATTCTGGAAGAAACATTTCCGTGTTTTCCAGTGCGTCTACCCTACTGACAAAGCCCGGGAAGATGTCACGTGCCAGGTCTTAAACGGCCTATGGGAAGCTGTGGCCAGAATGCGTCACTGGACACGACATGGAAGGGTCTGACATACAGGTAGTGGAGGAGATCGTGTTCACGGGCGAGAGTATGGGTCTGGACATCAGTGGAGCAGCTAGGGAAGAGTCTGCTGAGGACCAAGGCGGGGAGCTGGCAACGGAAGAATTTGCTGAACTCCAGAGCAAGCAGGAAAAGGCGCTTGTGGAGCAGCCTTTCACTGAGGAAGAGGAAGGCGGGGGGGAGGTTCCAGCGACGCGACACGATCCATGGTGGAAAATGGAAGAGTACCAGGGTTTCTGAGAAGCGCCACCCAACGTAGCTGTAACGAGCAGCGTTGAACCTGATGGAAGTGTGGTGTCTCATTCCTGGAGAGTCGCACAGTGCAGAAGCAGACAGATTGAAGAGAAGGTTTGAAGAAGGGGCACCTGACCTCTACACACAGCTCAGTGTCAAATCAAGCAAAGCCCTTGTGCGTGTTGGTCTCGTGTGTCACCTCGAGAGCTCTGGGTGCGAACAGCTCGTCCTAAGCCAGACGATGGCACGAGGGGGCTGAAGCAGGCCTGGGCTCCAGGGCCTCGGGGTGCCATCCACTCACTTGTCCCTTTCACGGGTACCCCGTGGGCCCTGGGGGTCAGTCAGTGGGCTACCGGCTCTAAAGGCCAGCAATTTTGAACAAAGGCTTTTGGGGGAGAACAGGAATCAGGCCCTTCCTTGCCTCAGAACCCCTAGGTCACTCTGGATTGGACACAGTGGGAAATGTATTTATTTATTTTTATTTATTTTTATTTATTTTCGGTTCTGGGGATAGAACTTGGGTCCTTGCGCTTGCAAGGCAGCCAAGCAGGGCACACTGAGCTAAATCCCTGGTTCTAGGCCTCTTCTGAGGTACGGCTGAAACCATTTTTTTCCTCGCAAAGGGTGGCTGTCTGGAAGAATACTTTGTAAACAATAAGGAGTTGTGCACAGATAGGAGATTCATCTTCACGAGGATAACTGTGTTCAGCTGGGAGCAACAAGGCCAAACAGAAAACCACTCAGGATAAACACGCCCTTTACACTAAGCGCACACCATGCACTAGGCATGGTGCTATGGAATTGTTCTGTCTCAGAGGTGGACATTTAGATTCCCAGCAGCACCAATTCACAAGGAGAGGAGGTGACAGAGCTAGGTCACAGTCTGCAGCTCCAACCTTTCCAGCCAAGGCCTGTGAGAGGACCCTTCGAGGCCTGATGTCAGGCCTGCGTTCCCCAAGAGCCCTGAAGAGGGAAATCAACACCTTTCCTCCAAGGCTGGCAGAGGACTGCCGTGGGCTTGTCCCATACAACATCACTCAGAAAACAATGTGTCTTCTGAATTTTATTCAGTGGAATAATTTCGTTGACTACTATGTCCCATCCAGAAAAGTAGAGTGGGCCCAATGTGCTAAAGGTGGGTGTGAAGTCACCCAAGGCCCCCAGGGCTCCAGGGGACGGCTGGAAGCCATTTATCCTGTAGATTGGCACCTACTCTGAGAAGCTCAGGGTAAAGTGCCATGAGGCTAAGGCTCTGAAGGAGCGAGGTGGGAATGCGGCAGCCCTTTGTGGGCTGTCAGTCTGGGGTGAGCTGCGGGATCCCAGGGCTGCTCTGTGCGCTGGGCTCTGGTCTCTTCCTCCAAGGTACCACTCGTTTCACCCCACCTCCGGTCAGTAGTCACTGTTCACCCCTCACAGGGTAGAAAACGTATCTTCACTGACAATTCGTGAGTGTGGTCTTCAAAGATTTGGATTACAAGGTTAAAAGCTGTAGCAATCTTTCCTTTTTCTTGCCCTTATGAAAGGCACCATCTAGTCTGTTCTTGCATCAGCGAAAGCATAGTGTTCACGTTCAGATCTCGGAAAAGGACCAAGAACAGATCTGTACTGCTGACCCCAGTGAGGGGGGTTGGCAGGGTGGCTCACAGAGGAATCATCGAGCGAACCTCCTTCTCATAGATGTCCGGGATCACCCCCACCGAGGAAGGGACCATGTGCACGGTATTCTTGCCAAATAGCCGGAACTCATAGCGGACGAGCTGCTCCCAAAAGCCAGTGTTGGGTCGGATGATGGGCCGGCAGGACTTGGCCCAAGTGTGGGCCTCCAGCAGGGACACAGCGTGGTACTTCATGAGGTAGGCAAGACACAGGGCAGCTGAGCGGCTCACGCCTGCAGCACAGTGCAGCAGTGTGCGGCCCTCTTCCATCTCCACCGAGTGGATGTGGTCGGCAATGGGGTCAAAGAAGTCATAGAGACAAGAGCTAGGTGTGTCAGCCACAGGTACTCGCAAGTACTGGATGTTCTCATAGAAGGCGTTCACTACCTCCACCGAGACATTGATGACTGTGGTGATCTGGTTGCTGGACAGCAGGAGCTTATTGCTGGCAGCTGCCCCGCTGCTGATATACAGGCTTCTGGTGACCTGGCAGAGGCCGCTGACCGACAGCTGCCGGGACGGGGCGGGGCAGGCACGCGTGAGTGACGTCATCAGGGCAGTGGCTCAGCAGGTGGGGCTACCTGAGGCCTGTTCCTCTTTCCTAGGCTGGGTCCCTGGAAAGCTGCATGGAAGGAGAGGATGTTTAGAAGATAGAGGGCTGGCAGGCCATGCCCAGCAGACTTCTGGGAAACAACGATGGGCCTACAGGATTCTCCAAGGCGGCCCTGACTACCACCGCAGGATCACTCGGGAAACTCATTCCTACAGCTACCCACAGGGTCTTCCCCAGAGCCACAGAATCCGATTCTCTGGTGAGGAGCGTGAGTCTCGGGAGGTCGATATGCACTTTCCTTTGTGCTCAAAGGGCAAGTCTCTGAGCCTGGAACTCAAGGCCGTGCTGGAACCAAGCCCATTCTCCCAATAACCAGCTGGCTAGGTCAGTTTCACTCTGACCCAGTCTGAGTCTCCATTTAGGCTCACAGCAGTAACCCTCTTTTTTCCTCTTTTCAAAACTCTCCCCTTTTCCTCAGCTCTCCTAAGTAGAAACCACTTTCACAGTCTCCATGGTCTTCTGACTATATGCCCGAATCACGAGACTCGGAACCAGGGACACAGACCACAGCCTACGGTGCTGGGAGTCACTGGAGGAGGGCAGGATAAGAAGCAGGGAGGGTCCTGCCGCTTCGTTCCCCAAGAATGATCTCTTTGAAGAGACAGGATGAGCCCATGCAAAACTGAGGTCAAATACCACAGTTCTACATTGTTAAACACGTTTCTGCAGCTTGGCTCTAAAGAGGCCCCAGGAAGGGAGTGGCTAGAAGCTTCCTGGAGGCTGGCATAGTGGGCACCATGGCAACCCCCGGAGCGAGTGGAAAGTGCAGAAAGGCAGCGAGGCCTCAGGAAGCCTCTCGACACCAGCACCAAGCTGCTTCTGGCAGCAGGGCTGTGGCACACACCCCTGGGAGAGACAGACTCTTGTCTTCTAGGAAATCCCAGCACCTACCCCCAACTTTCCTAGCCTTGCGCAAAGCTTCAAAAACTGGACTCTTTCCCACACCACACTGAGGGGCATTTGGATTTAAATCTCACCTCTCCAGGACAGGTGGCTGCCTTCGTCAGGCCCAAATGAGAAGCCAAAGCTTTGTTCCTCTGCTCAATATGTATCAGCGGCTGCCCTCAGTCAAGACAAAATTGAGCTTCTTAGTTTGGCTGTCAAGACGATCTGTGGCCTAAAAACAAAACGAAACGAAACGAAACAAAACAAAACAAAAAATAAGAAAAGAGAAAGGCTGGGCATGGTGGTGCATGCCTGTAATCACAGCATTTGGGAGGCTGAGGCAGGAGGATTGCTGTGAGTCTGAGGCTCGTCTGAACTGCATAGTAAAACTTCGTCTTAAAAAAAAAAGATTATCAGTGGCCTAGCTACCACCCATCTTTCTGGCCTCCTATTAGTCTTCTCCCTCTTCTTTTCTTTTTTTAATTTTTGAGACAGGGTCACTATTGTAGTTCAGGCTGGCCTTGAACTCGCCAAGTAGCCCCAGGCTGCCCTGGAATTTGTGGCGATCCTCTGCCTCAGACTCCAGAGTGCTGGGATTCGGTGTGCACATCCAGCAAGATTTTCTCCATTTTCTGAAGGGCCTCCGCTATCCTGAGCCAGACAGCTTCTTATGGTTTTTTTGTCCGCTGTGGCTGCAGCCTTTGTCTCTGCTATGTTCTAAGCCCAAGAACACCCTTTCCTAAGCTTATTGGATACTGATCTGTTCCACTCAGCAAAGGACTGTTGAAGTCTGAGGAGTCTTTGGATCTTACACGGAGTCATTTCCTCAATGAAAACCTCCTCGGAGCACACCCCTTCCCCATGTTTAACCTTCCCCTTTCAATGCTGGAGATGGAACTCAGGGCCTCACACACATTAGGCCCAGCCCAAGGTCACTGTTTACTTGCACTAAACCAAAACAGATCAGACAGAATCAAAACAGATTCTCTCAAACTAGAGTTCCAAATTACTAACCAGAAACTAAGCTGTTTGACCTTCAAGTAATCCAGATTAAAGCAATAACAAACAAATTTCCCAAACAGGCCAATTTCAATTGGCATAATGAACTTGCCTGTCTTAATCTTCACAATACAGGTAACCTAATCTTCACAGAACAGGAAACCTAAATTTTTTTGTACCGGGGATTGAACTCGGGACCCTGTGCTTTTGAGGAAAGCAGCCCCACCACTGAGCTAAATCACCAGCCCTTTTTAAAATCTTTTTAATCTTCACAGTACAGATAACATAACTTGATGTTAACCAAATAAGTTATTTTTTTATTGTTCAGTCTTCACCTTCCAAGGAAAATAACTTTGAAATGACCAATTTGCTTTTGTTTCAGTTTTCAGCCCTTTTCTGTTCATAAAAATCATAAACTTTCTGCTGGGCTCATTAGGTCACTTGTATTTTATAGCATGAAGTGTTGCCAGATTTAGAATGGATAATAAAGCCAAGTAAGATTTTAAATTGTTATTTTGTTCTCTGACAATAATAGAGGTAACAGTGCCTACCTTAAAAGGATTTTGTGAATCCACATATGGTTGTGGACACCTGTAATACTAGCATTCTGGGAGGCTGAGGCAGGAGGATCAAAATTTTGAGCCCAGTCTGGCCAACTTAGAAAAACTATGTCCCAAAATAAAAAATAAATTAAAAAAAAAAAAAAAAGGACTGAGGGTAAAGCTCAGTGTGAAGGCCCTGGGTGCAGTCCCCAGTAACACACACACACACACGCCCCACACAAGATGTAATGACTAACCGAGATAATCAGCTAATGTGTTGAATGTAGGGCCTAGCACAAAGTAAGCCTCCTAATAGCTGGGTGTGGTGGTGCACACCTCTAATCCCAGCACGCCTGTAATCCCAGCACGCCTGTAATCCCAGCACGCCTGTAATCCCAGCACGCCTGTAATCCCAGCACGCCTGTAATCCCAGCACGCCTGTAATCCCAGCACACCTGTAATCCCAGCACGCCTGTAATCCCAGCACTCGGGAGGCTGAGGCAAGAGGATCGCTGTGAGTTCGAGACCAGTCTGGGCTACACAGTGAGTTCCAGGTCAGTTTCAAGTACATAGTGAGAGCCTGTCTCAAAAAAACAGAGTAAGCCCCCTAAAAAGGGTAACAATTCCTGTTGGTGTTTGGGAAGTTAAAATGCAGGGCGATGTTGGTGTGAAGGGTAAAGGGATTCTTCTAGGCTAGAGGCTATGGAGTACCAAAGTTTGCCGTAAGAAATGACACAAAGTGAGAGAAAAGTTCCACAAGAGGGACAAAGGTGGAGAAACAGCAACTCTGCAACAACTCAGTTTTACCCTTTGACTTTGAAGACTTTGACGTTACTCCTCTGATCTGACTTTCAAAGCAACCGAGTGAGAGCGGAGTCTAAAGTTAACACTGCCAGAGCCATGGGTGGAAAGTGGGGCCCGGACAGGAAGACCTGTTCAAGGTAACACAGGAAGGTCCGAAAGCTGCTCTTTCTGGTCTCTAATAACCGTGATGTGGGGAAAAGTCAGCAAGCCCTGAGGTTAGCCGGTTAAACTCTGGGTTACAAAAGCAACAACATCCAGAGGTCTAGGGGCGCCACTCCCAGGGGTGAGTCGGGTAGGTTTCCCGAGACAGTTGACGCTGAAATGGTTTCTTCTCCAGTCGGTGTCAAGACCCCACCCTACCTTTCTCCCGCAGCAGGATAGAGGGGTTCACTGAGGTAGCAGCAGCGCGGCGAAGGTCTTTGGGGAGAGCGATCAGTCAGGATGCTTGGGCCATAATCTCCACCGGCACAGAGCTTTGGTTTCCATCGCAGTGGTTTCTCTTCCCGGAGAGAAATAAGCTGCACTGGATCTCTAGAGAAATCGCAGCCTCTGAGCCCCGGCGCAGCAACGCGAGGGTCACAAGGGTACCCACCCCACGATCACGCCAGTGCCACTGCTGGCTTTGACGAAAAAGGGTCAGTTTAGCGCTCTATGGATTATTCCAGTCCGCCCGTCCCATCTCCATGGCGACGACGCGCCCAGTCAAACCAAGGTGGCCGCTGAGGGACAAAACGGCTACGTCCACCGCCTCGGGCCCTCCGCGCACACGCCCTTTCTCCAGGCCCCGCCCCTTACGTGTCTCCCGAGAAACGGGCACGGCGCGGTGCGAGGTCACCGGCGAGAGTCCCTCGGCGCCACCCACTTACCATGCGTCCCAGCCTGGCTCCGCCTCCCAACCTCTCCTGCAGCGCGGAAGACCCGACCTCGGTGAAATGGGACCTAGATTCGTCCACCGATCATGAGGTGCCAGCCAAGGCGACCACGGGTTCCGCTGCCACCCGCGGCTCGGACTTTCGGCGCGACAAGCTCGAGCGCCGGCA